AAAAAAAAAAAAAAGAGCAATTCTCACCAGCAAAAATGATCTTGTTTATCCACAGATTAATCTGTTTCTCTCCTTTCAGACATGCCTATAAGTCCTGAGGGCCTTATCGATTGGCTTAGCTGTACAATAAGGCGAACATCCCTATGAAACCTTTTTAAGCCAAAATGGCATCAACTGATGAAGCGATTGCCATTAGTGTATGTGGGAAAGATTGGTGAGTGTTCCCAAACTCAAAAAACAACCAACCAAGTCATAGCAAACAACACCTGAAGCTAACATGACAGAGCTCAGTGCTCTGGCAGCTCCATGTGGAGACGAGAGTGCAGTTCCCGGGGAAGGCGCTTGGGGGCGCCACTTTCACTGCTCAGGATGCACACTTCCTCTTTCATGACTCCCTGTAGAACAAACACTGAATACTAGCTTCATTTTTTGCCTTTTTCGCTAAAAGCAAAAATCCTCTTCAGATTTCTTAAGGTTGGTGCAAACAGGATATAAATCTTTCATAAAAGTGAGGTGGTGTAGCATTCGACCACGTTCCACAGACTCCTGTTGACCTTGAGAGAAGAAGAGGAAGGGCTGGTTGGTCTGAAGTTTGGGGAGACTGGGGAACTCCTGAGCCCATGGACACGGAGCCCACAGAGGACCAGAGCTGAGAGTGAAGTGTCCAGCTACACTAAAGGGGGGTGGGGGGGAAGCACAAGAACGCCCAAAGTTGCAGATAGTACCCATTTGACCTAGCTTCGATGGCTTGATGACCAGAACTTGACTAGAGGAAGATAAAGAAATGTGATAAAGGAAACAAGTGTAAATTGCTACAATTTGATGAACTTGACCTATACTTATGGCTGTAGTAGCTCCAAATACCAACTGTGAGGGAAGGAGTCTTCACATCCAGGATCAAGCCTATCCTCTTGGTTTACAGGGTTGATAGGGATGGGCAACTTAGACATTGGCTACCTAAAATGGGGGTGGAAGGTGGGAGCTGACTTACAATTTTCAAGAGGGAGTTCAGTTTCAAAGTACGTGGGGGAGAGGAAAGATAGAATCCCCACTGAATAGTTTTCATCTTGTCTAGATGGGTCTGGTGAAAGGAAATGGGAATAGGATTCTTTTGATTAAATAGTGAGTAATTGTTATCATGACTAATTGCGATAGGCACAACTGTAAAGGTAGAAGTTTTGTAACATAAACGGGGGAGTAGTTAATCTTACAATCCAGGAACAGAGGACCCTAGGACCATCAAGGGCGAAAAGCACAAGCAGAATGTGGGGACCCTATCCAGAGAAGCAGCAACACCAGAGATGGAGGCAGAGATGAGGACATGGAGAGATAGAGCAGCTGAGGACTCTAGACTCATGGGAAGAGAAAGACTGTGTGCTGGTGGCCAGGAGGCTGGCTTGCAGAATGCACACTTTGGTTGTTTAAGTGATTATATATTCCTCAGTGTTGTTGTTTTTTAAATTATTATTCCTTAGTGTTTTTGTGTACATTAAAAATATATATATATACTGTTAAATGATGATGCATGGAGGGGATTGTAATCATTTCCATGAAACAAAATACGATAGGATGAGTTCAAAATCAGTGTTCTCCTATATAAACTATCACTCAATTCACAATGAAAGCTTTTTTTAAAAAAAAAAAAAAGTGAGGTGGTACAAAACAACTTTTCAAAAAGTAGGGGGCAAGTACCTGCATTCTGTAGGTTGCTATATGATCCAACCTTCTCCCCAGCTCCTAGAACAGTGTGAGGCACAAGGTGGGCACTCGGTAAATACTGTTGGATGGACTATGTTTTTTTTGCCCCAACACTTTCTAAGGGCCAGACACTGGGGCAGTTGCAAAAACAAGTCATAAGAGCTACCATTTATGGTAAGCTAACACTGTGCTCAAACATCTCCTATGTTCCAGGATGATATGACTGGGGTCCCCAATTCACAGGTGGGGAAATGAGTCACAGAGAAGGTACGGTGCTCTCAGTCCCACTGCTGGTTCATGGGGGACCCAGGATTCGAACCCTGGCAGTGTGGCTCCAGAGTGACCTTCCTACCTAATGACACACAGACATACAGATAAATTAGGTTTGTTGCCAATGTTATGGGCTTGCTAACAGAAGAGGGCGTACACACATTCAGTCATCTGAGTGGCGCATGAGAAATGCTATAACCTTGATGAGAATTAGCATCAACCTCATCCAAGAAATGGCTCAGCACGCAGCAGCTACCAACCCGAGGCGCCTTGTTGCAAAAATTCACAACCACCGAAAGCCCTGTGGAGCAGAGTTCTCCTCTGACGCCCACGGAGCCGCCATGATGGAGAACACAGTCCACGGCAATGGGATTGGTTTGATTTTCAGTCTAACCTGAAGGCATATGTGCAGCAGTGATGGCTTCCATTGGGTGAGGTGTTCTGTACAAGCCAGGAACATCGACAGGAGCTGCCACCCCAGCACGAGAGGGGAAACAGGGTGCTCAAGTCTAAATGCCTCAAATGACAGGCATCAAGACAGCACAGCTGCCCCTCACAGCCCACCTCCACTGACAGCGCATGACTGGTTTCCTCTGCTAACAGCTGCTTCTAACCAGTCTCATTTGTTCTGCTATGTGGATGCCCAAAAGTATCTATTTTATTTAGGGATCTGCCTTGGAAAGAGACAACAATCTGAATGTGCCAGTAACTTAATTTCAACATCTATGGGAAACGACGCAACACACCTTCAAAGAGAGTGAAAGGGGCAATCAGAAGCCATGAAGGTTGGAAGTCAGGTAATTCCAAGAGCTTCTGGCCACAAACCAAAGAGGCAAGAGATGACTTTCAATCTCGTGTACAGAAAAAACATTTCTACATGATAGCCAAGCTTCAGTAGTTGTAAAATTGAAAAGAAAAACTGTACTTTGATGACTGAATGCTAACAACTGAAGCAAGACAGATACAGACTTTTTAAAAAGAAGTAAAAGAAAAAAGAAAAACAAATTGGCCCTGGATTTGAACAGCGCTCCAGAGACAATGGTTCTGCTAGAGGCCTGAGCCAGGATGCCTCCCTCACAGAGGGCAGAACAAAGCCACTCCCTGGGCTCTTCCAAGGGGGCCTGCAGTGGACTCAAACCTCTCACCCCTGGCCGTGGCAGGGGGCCTTTCTTTGGATCTCTGAGCCTCAGGAAGCTGCCCCAGAAATGCCAATCTTAGGGAGCAGCGTAATGCCCTGATAGTGACTAGCCTCCCAGAAGTGCTAAGAAGAAGGCCACGAAACAGGAGGCTGGACACAGACCTCTGGACTTGGCCACTGACTAGCTGTGGCCCTGACCTCTGTGCCGCAGTTTTCACGTCTCTGAAATGGAAGTTTTGAGTGTTTGCAAACTGCTTGGAAGTGCAGAGGTTCAGTGTTCAGTTGCTAACTAAAAGGCCAGCAGTTTGAACCCACCAGCGGCTGAATCAGCTTCTGAAATGACTTACAGCCTTGGAAACACATACTACTCTGTGGTAATGGGTGGTGAGGAGTCAGAACAGGCTTTGTTTTCCGCAGAGTTATGAAGCCCTTTAGAGAAGGGGCAGGAGCACAGGTGGGGTGGGAGGATGAAGGCATGGCAGGGACAGACAAGAGGAGACAGAGGTCACAAGGGGACAGAAGGTTTCTGCTGTGAGTCACACACACACACACACACACACCCCATCCCAAGTCACCAGCTTCATCAAGTATCTGTCTGTCAGCATCCTTCTCGCCTTCCCCTGGTCTAGTCACTACGGCTTTCTTCCAGTCCCTCAAACGCTCCTTCCCACCTCAAGGGTCTCACCCATGCTGTCCCCTCTGCCCAGACATGCCCTGTCCTTGCCCCCATGCCCCCAGTTAACTCCCAGAGAACACATCCTCCCTGGATGCTGAGGCTCTCTGCTCCTGTAGGTGAATGAAATCTATGGAGTAACAAACACCTGTGGAGTAACAGCGGCGTGAAGCTCAGCACTGGGCGTCTTGTATACAGCGGGCCTTACCACATGGTGAAAGTGTGGAAAGAAGCATGAGTCAGCCCACAGTTCACGCTGACCCCATGCACGACAGAACCCAAGGCTGTCCAGTTCTGGGTCATCCCATGATCAGCTGTGGACTGAACGGTTGTGAGTCACAGAATTTGCATTGGCTGAATTTTCAGGAGATTGCCAGGTTTTTCTTGCTAAGTCTGTCTTACTCTGGAAGCTCCACTGTAACTTGGTCATAGCAACATGCAATCCTCCACTGATAGGGGTGGTGACTGAGTGTAAGAGGCAATGACCAAGAATCAAACCACTGAGCCACCAATTCTTACTGCTGGGACCCTGCTCGTCTCTTACAGTCCACGAGAAAGCCCAGCACCCTTCCAGAAAAGTCCCTGTGATCAACGCCATCTTGGTTCTGTCTCTTACATGGCGCCATGAGAACATCACCACTACTGCCCCACAGCCTTCTGGGGTACTTCCTGTGTGCCACTCACAATAACCCCAGGGGCTAGAGACAAGCTAACGGGATTCCTATTACTCTGCAGAGGAGCAAACAAAGTCTAGTAAAGGTCCACAACTGTCCAATTCTGCAGCGCTGGTCATTGGTCAAGCCGGGAGATTCTTCACCAGGTGCACCTGGCCCCAAGGTCTGAGCCCATCACCCTTAAGCTACCCCTCCCTCATCAGTAGAGACAGAATATGCCCGAGATTATGGGAGACACACCGCAAACAGAAAAAACTCCGAGCCATCCCACCATCTGACCAGAACCCCAGCATGTAGACAGTAGCTGGAAGGCTCCTCGAGGGTCACCTACCGGAACTATTAGTAGAGTTGAAAAGAAATTGCAGAGGAATTCCAGAAGGAATGATCCCGATGGCCGCATCTTTCCATCGATGTTAATCATCGTCGGGACTTCAGGAATAAGGCTTATGGCGGCTTTGAAGAAAGCATCGGCTGCAAGGCAAAAGAAGAGTCCAGGGGTCACAGCTGCACAGCCTGGAGGCCAATCCTGACACTTACACAGGAGGAAAGTCCAGGTGAGCATGGTGGCTCCAGATGATAAGCACTGGACTATGAACCACAAGGTCCACGGTTCGAGCCCACCAGCTGCTCTGTGGGAGAAAGACAAGGCATTCAAATCCAGCAAGGATTTAAAGCCTCGCAAACCCTACACCAGATCACTGGGAGTCAGAACAGACTCCACGACACTAAAAACAAGACGTCTAGGTAAGGTCCTAGAATGAGGTTTCCGCAAACCGTAACTGACTTGATGGAACAGCTGGTTGAGAAGACTGCTTCTAACTGACCTCAATTCCACTTACAGGCAAGATGGCTGAGATGGTCAAGTGATGAAAGCAGGCAGGACACTAGTACAAAAAACCTACAAGTTACAGAGTCACCAGGGCTATGGGCTCCTCATGTACAGCCTGTGAGGGAGGGGTGCCAGTGTGCCCATTTCACAGATGGGGAAACAAGGCACTGCTGGGGCCATGCTCAAACCAGATTCAGGTCAGCTGGGATCTACTCTAAATGTCTGTCAAAGAAACAGATGCAATAAATATATGAAGGTATGCATGCGTGCACATGCACACACCCACACCACATACATGCCATGCACGCCACATATGTGTCACATGCACCCCATACACACCACACATACTAAACACATGACACACACACCAGAAACGCCACACACACATTACACACATACCGTGCACGTACCACAAACGTCACACACACACACCATAACCACCACACACACACTACACATATATCTTGCACATACCACAAACACCACACACACATTACACACATATACCGCACACATACCATAAACGCCACACACACACCATGCACGTACCACAAACTCCACACACACTACACATATACTGAGCAATACCATAAACACCACACACATACATACCACAAACACTACACATATATACTGCGCACATACAACAAACACCACACTACACACATATACCGCACACATACCACAAATACCACACACACAACAACTTTAAAGACTTCTAATTGAGTCATGTTATCAGGAGGGATCGATCAGTCCCTGGAGAAGGATAGTATGCTTGGTAAAATGGAGGGTCAACGAAACAGAGGAAGGCCCTCAACAAGATGGACTGGCACAGTGGCAGCAGCAATGAGCTAACGTGTAACAACAATTGTGAGGATTGTACAGGAACGGGCGGTGTTTCATTCTGTTATGCACAGCGTTGTTATAAATCAGAACCAACTGGACAGCACCTAACAACAGTAACAACTGAGCCATAGTTCCAAAGAATTATTTGGGAAAGGAAGATGTTTGATACCACTATAAGACTTCAAAAGGAAGTAAAAAGAAGGGAAAAGAGAGAAAAAGAGGGGAAAGGGGAGAGACAGAAAAAAGCAAGAGAGAGGGAAGATGGGGGGAGAAGACAGAAAAGCAAGAGAGAGGGAAGATGGGGGGAGAAGACAGAAAAGCAAGAGAGAGGGAAGATGGGGGGAGAAGACAGAAAAGCAAGAGTTCTTTCTAGAACTGCCAAATCTTTAACCATGGGAAAGAGCCTCAAGGTCAAAACAGAAACAACAAAGCAAACATTAACTTCACAAATGAAAGTTTAAACAACTCAACAAGATCAAACGTCTTCATGGTCCAAGAGCTGCTCCACTATGAAATGACTTCCAGGGATGCAAAGAGAACACTGGACCGGTTGACAGCATCCTGACTGAAAACAGGAAACCTCCCCCCTCAACAGCACCCAGGGGGACGAATGCAGCAACAACAAATGCCTGCTGGTCGAACAACAAAGCCTACAGTTAATGAGAAGAGTATGTGTTCACCTTCTCCTGCTCCTCAAAGGGGAAGAAACCCTCAGAGCGTTCTGAATCAAGTTAGCTCTGCTCTGGAAACTTCTTTACCAGGCTGCCTCCTGAGCCCTGAACTCACACCCTGCCCACGTCTGCCTCAGTGCATTTATTAAGTGCCACTTGTTAACAGGGCACTCTCTTGGGCACATAGGGACAAAAAGTAAGGGAAAGAGTAGACAACATGACTGGCATAAATAACACTACATTTACGGAGCGCCAGCTGGATACTAGGGTCTAGGGAAGACTTGAAGCAGCTAATTTTGGTCATGTTGGTGAGAGAGCTGAAATATGGGGTTTCAGAGAAATGGCAAAGAATGAGAAGTTGCAGGGTCTTCCATCTTTGCCTACAAATAGCAATGCGTTGGAGCCCCTGAGTGGGCCAAATGATTAATGTGCTTGGGTACTAAACAAAAGTTTGGAGGTTCAAGTCCACCCAGAGGTGCTTTGGAAGAGAAGCCTTGGAAGTGATCAACTTCCACACGCCCAGCCACTGAGAACCCGATGGAACACAGGACCACTCTAACACAACTGACCCCTGGTTTATTTATGGACCTCTTAGGTGCGCCTGGACCCTCGCCCCAAGTAGTTAATCTTAATCCTCAAGCAGTCCTATGTGGGAAATCCCTACCCCATCCACTGCCATCAACTCAATTCTACTTCATAGCAACCCTGTAGGACAGAGAACTGCTCCTGAGGTTCCGAGACAAAATCTTTACGGGGAGCACACAGTCTCATCTTCCTCTCATAGTGTAGCTGGTGGCTTTGAACTACAGACCTTGTGGTAAGCAGCCTGATGCTTAACTCACAGTGCCACCAGGGCTCCTATCCCATGTGAAAGGTACAAGTATTTCTGTCCCCAGATGAAGAGACTAGGGTTCAACTTGTGACAGCTGCCATGTGAAAGCTGCACAGGATGGCATTTGTGTTTCTTAAAAGTCACGTAAATTCCAGACAAGAAGGGAAGGGAAAGAGGGAAGCCCTATACTGGGGGAACTTGGGTAAGTAAGAGGCTGTAACCCAGAGCTTAGGAAGGAAAATCTGCAGAAGACAGAAGTACGGCCAGGGAGCCCAGCAAGGAGGCAACCGGGAAGTAAGAAGGAGCTTCAAAAAATTCATGGAAAAATCCCATCATCTTTCAATTCCATTTTTCCATGGATAGCAGCAGCAACAACCACTTATTCTGTTTCTGTGTGCTGTTCAGGGGCCCTGGGAATGTACTGTTATTATGAAGGGGAAACAGCTTTGTCCTGGGGGCTCTTCTCCGCGCTACCACCCCGCTCAGTTCTCATGCTGAAAGATGGAGCAAACAGAAACAGTTATTTAAGGGTGGGGGCATGGAGTGCTAAAAGACACGTTTTCATTCGTAGCCTCGGAAGACTTGACACAGATAGGAAAATAACTGTCTGGGAGACGTCTCCATTGTATCTTAATAATTTGGTCTCAAATCCTGTCATGCAAGAACGCAGTTTTTCCTCACAGCTTTAGAGGATAATCAGGATAAGCTTCACTTAACACTTTATTTTGTAGCTATTAAAAGCCAGGGAAGACAATTCAAGAGAAAATGGATTAGATATGTAAAAACATAATAACACAAAGACCAATAGGAAAAAAGAAAAATCAGACTCCGATCCATAATAAATACTATCCTTACATTCAAAACAAACATAACCCAGTGATAGCATCATGATAAGCAAAGTGTGAAGTTGTCAAAGATGTCATTTTGTTTGGATCCACAATCGACACTCCTGGAAGCCGCAGTCAAGAAATTAGATGACGTATTGCATTAGGCAAATGTGCTGCAAAAGACCCCTTTTAAAGTATTAAAGAGCACAGAGGTCAGTTTCAAGACTAAGGTGCACCAGACCCAAGCCATGGCATTTTCAACCACCTCGTATGCATGTAAAAATTGGACCGTGTCTAAGGAAGAGCACAGAAAAATCAAGGCATTTGAATTACAGCTCTGGAGAAGAATATTGAAAGCACCTTGGACTGCCAGAAAACAAATAAATCAGTCTTGAAAGAAGTACGGCAGAAGGCTCCTTAGAAGCAACAACGGCAAAACTTCATCCCACCTACTTTGGACATGTTTTCAAGAGAAACCAGTCCCTGGAAAAGGACATCATGCTTGGTAAAGTGGAACGTCAGTGAAATAGAGGAAGGGCTCCAACAAGATGGACTGACAGAGCGGTAGCAGTAATGGGCATAACAATTGTGAAGATGGAGCAGAAGTGGGCAGTGTCGTTCTGTTGCGCACAGGGTCCGTGAGAGTCAGAACAACATGTTCCACTGAAGGAAGAAAAACATAGTAAGAGCATGCACTGGCTTCTTCTCGACCCTCTGAGTCCTTCCATCTACATGTTCTGAGATTTCACAGGGCAACCACGTTCCTGTTCCATAATTCCCATCTTTAAATAAATAAATAAAAATGGTGAGGGGAAGGCCAACGTTGTATAATCAAACACCTCATGGGATTTAGTTATTTGCTTTGGAGGCTTGTTATTATGGGTTGGGTTGGCTCTGACTTACAGCGTTCCTAAGCACAATAAAATGAAACCCTGCTAGTCCTGTGCCATCCTTACGATTGCTGAGCTTGAGCCCTCTGTTGCTTCTACTGTGTCGATCCATCGTTTTGGAATCTTCCTTTGTCATTGACCCTGCATTTTACCAAGCATGATGCATGATCTCCTTCTCCAGGACTTAGTTCAGTTAACTGACCAGGGCTCCCAGTGTTTAGGGTTTCTGCTCTACCTCCTAGTTTGTTACATAGTGGCTGGGGTCTTAAATGCTTACAAGCAACTGTCCAAGGCAAAATGTCATTGTCGAGTGCCATCAAGTTGGTTCCGATTCACAGAGACCCTGTACAAGGTTTCTGAGGAGTGACTGGTGAGTTTGAACTGCCAACTTTGTGGTTCAAACAGCCTTTGCAGTCCAGTGCATTAATCCGCAGCACCAGGAGCAGCAGAGGAAAAACAAGAGTCAGGAATAAGAGAAGGAAATGGGTGTGTGACTAATGGCTTCCCTTGCCATGAGACCAGAAGAACTGGATGGTGCCTGGGTACCATGATGGATTGCTTTGACTAAAGATTCTA